AGGTGTGGAAACAGTTCATGTAACAAAAACAAATTTATGCCTTTTATACATCTTTTCTGTACCTTTTTTGCATTCCATACCTATTCTGTACCACTTCCATATTTTATTTTCTATATGGTCAAATTTTTGTTTTAATTCCACATTTACAAGTTACTATAAATGGTATCATGGAAAAAAATCTGGATTGCTTATAAAAAAACTGAATTTTTATGGAGTGATAACCATAATCATGGAGAAATAATGGAGTGTCATTTTTACAGTAGCCCTATAAAAAATTTGGTATGAAAAATGTATGGAAAATTGTATGGAATTTTACCTGAAATTTGCATTTTCCCATACATTTCTGTACCAAATTTTTTATAGGGTAGAATTGTATTTATTGGATAAAACATTGTAAAAGTCATATTACTTGTAATACCCAAGAGGTATAAATATGTTCGAAATTAAACCAAGTGAATGTTAACAAAAAAAATGGATTGAAATGTTTGAAATTTTGGAAATGTGGTTGAGGTGGTGAAAAGATCTAGTCCAGCAGGATTGAATAAAGCTTAATGTTATGAAGCAGGTAAAGGTTTTTAATACTTGGATATCAAATCAATTTTGGGAATTTATTTTAAAAAATTAAATGGTCTGCAAAAATATCAACATTTTCTTTTTGAAGCATCTAATTTTGGTACAGTGAAAGTTCAAGAAGTTGCTAATGGTCCTTTTACCGAATTCATTTTATTGAAAACCAAGAAAGCAGATATTTTGGAAGAAATTAGAGCTTTATTCATTTTAGTATTAACACCACCACCTTTGGATTACAAAAGGCAAGAATACCTTTATAATAATATTTGTCCATTTGCGAAAGATGAATACAAAGATATTACTTGTCCAAAGCTGTGAATCAAAATAATATCAATTCTCTCTATGAACTAATCAAACAAAAATCCCAAGAGAAGGGTTGTCCTTTGAAAAATCATTTGTGATTGAGATGAGTGTTTGCAGCCTTTAAATTCATATATAAATTATAAAATTTGTGAAAAGTATAAACTTCTTCCTTTTATTTCTTTTGAAGATTTTTTCAAGATTTTTTGGGAAAAAGTGCAGGGTGATTCCAAAGTCATGGAATAAACTTTGAAAAGAACAATTCTCAAAAATATAATGAGTAATGCTGAATTTAAAAAAGACTTCGAGTTTTATAATAAAATGCCATATCTTTCTATTTTCAAAGAATTATTATTGGCTTCAAAAGAGAAAATTTGGTTAGAAATTTATAAAAATAAATAAACATAATGAAAGAAATTCACCCGATTGCTGAGATTGAATAAAAGAGAATTGTCCAGACTTTGATATTTTTATTGATGATAATCATTTGATTATTGAAAATACAGTAAAAAATTTCAGTTCAGAAAAATTTTATGTAATGCCTGATTATAAACATAGTAGGAATACTCAAACTCCCAATATCTACCACCTTAAAACCACTGTTTCAGACTTAAAAGATGAAGATTTTGCCAAAGCTGCTGAGGAATATAAAAACAATATTTCAAAGAAAAAGAAAAGTTTGATAGTAAATCTATTTGGTTATGAATAGCAGGTATGACTTTAATCTTAGGTTTTATAATTGCTATGATTTATATTGTTAAAAAGAAAAAATAGATAGATAAATATATAATAATAAGATTCATTGTATTTTATTTTCCTTCTTCTAAAGGTTTCTGTTTTTTGTTGGGTAATAGCACATTTTCATTCTGCTTTCTTTCCTTAATGTTCATTATTTTTCTTTCTTCTTGGTAAATTTCATAGGTAATCCTTTCTTTATCTAAATATGTTTGCAAGGATTTAGTATCTGCTAATTTAAAAATACAAGGTGCAATTTTTTCATCTTGTTCCTTCAAAATACTTCTAATGATAATTTTTGGGTTCCATAGTAGATCTGATGTAAATTAGCTTAATATTAATTAACTATTTTTGCCTAGTTTAAAAACAATATTGATCCCTGAAATTCTTTTGGTAATACCAATGTTCACTTTGTCTGGTTTTTGTTGCAAGCATGCATGCCTCATATATGAAATTTATCTATTGTTGATCATCACAAGATTTTTATTATATTTTTTAAAAAAAAATGTTGTCTATGTTCAGAACACGTTTACCTCTAGTTTCATCCTTTTCATTTTCAAAAAACTTTGTTAGAAACTATGCCTCAGAACCTATCAAGCATACTCTTCCTGAAGACACATACAAAGGATATGAATGTGAACCTCCGTCTTTAGAAATTCAAACAACAAAAGAGGAAATAGTTCACATGTACAAGCAAATGGTAATAATGCGTAGAATGGAAGTTACTGCCGATGGTCTATATAAATCAAAATTGATTAGAGGTTTTTGTCACTTATGTACAGGCCAAGTATGTATTTATTTGTTTTATTTAAAAATTTTTAATAGTATATAATAATACTACTAGTATCAACCATATATCATTAATTTTTTAAATTAGGAAGCAGTATCTGTTGGTATGGAAGCAGCTATGACACCGGAAGATGCAATTATAACTGCTTATCGATGTCATGGTTATACATTGGTAAGAGGTGCAACACCTCATCAAATTCTTTCAGAGCTTACGGGTAATTAATAATATTATCTTTAACTTTAATATTAATTGATTAATTCATCAATCATATTTTATCCTATGATCAGGTCGTAAAACCGGCATTTCAAAAGGAAAAGGTGGTTCTATGCATATGTTTGCAAAAAATTTTTATGGTGGTAATGGAATTGTTGGTGCACAGGTATTATTATTATTATAAAAATCATTATATTTATATATATATATATATATTTATTTAAAAGAACGTTTACACATTTGTATGTATGCTTTTTTACGCTAGGTACCTGTCGGTGCGGGCATAGCATTTACACAAAAATATAACAATACCAATAATGCCACATTTATTTTATATGGAGATGGTGCAGCTAATCAAGGACAAGTTTTTGAAGCTTACAATATGTCCAAATTATGGGATTTACCAGCCATTTTTGTATGTGAAAACAATTTTTATGGAATGGGAACGTCTGCTAGCCGAGGTTCTGCAAATACACAATATTATACTCGTGGACAATATATTCCTGGTATTAGGGTTGGTGGTATTTATTATATCGATGAAGTTTATTTTTTTTTTAATTATTTAGAATGACATTGATTAAAAATAACAACTAGGTTAATGGTATGGATGCAATTGCAATTAAAAATGCATGTTCGTGGGCTAAAAATTGGGTTGTTTCTGAAAAAGGACCCTTAGTGATGGAGATGGTTACTTATCGTTACGGTGGTCATTCTATGTCAGATCCTGGTACAACTTATAGAACAAGAGAAGAAATTCAACATATGAGGAGTAAAAATGATCCGATTACCAAATTGAAGGAGTTCATAATAGATTTAGGCCTTCTTACAGAAACAGAACTTAAGGTGATCATAATAATTATAATATTTTAAAGCTCAAAAAACGACTTTTTTTTGTTTCAAATCAATTAAATATTTTTTGCTGTTAAAATACTAGCAAATTGAAAAAGAAGCACGCACAATTCTTGAAGATGCATCTAAAAAAGCTCAAAGTGACCCGTTACCTGATGAATCAGAATTGTATACTAATGTATACGTTAAAGGATCAAACCCACCTTCTATACGTGGCAGAGAAAGAGAAGAATTTGGAATTGTAGAATAAACTCATTATAGATATATTTTTTTTTGTTTTAATCAATAACTATTAATTTATTTCAATTTTCTAATTATAAATAGTAATTTAAATTTTTTTTAATATTATTTATTTTACTGCTGTTGATATTGAGTTGTTTGATCTTCTTCAGTATTTAAATCTGCATTCTTTTTAGCTTGATGTACAACATAATGTTCTCTAGAAACCTTAGGTTTTTGACAATGAGCCTCGGCTTGATCACTAAACACCAAATGATCAATTATCGGGATTTTACGTTTATGAAGTTAATAATAACTTATAATAATAACTTATAATAAATCTCTTTTTTCAATTTTTCTCGAAACATCATTTTTAGAGTTTCTATTAAAAAGCCCCCCCCCCATATTATTATAATGACGACAAAATATAAAAAAGCAGAAGTTAAAATTAACAGTTAAGTTAAATAATTAAAATGGCTATCAATTAATGAATTTTTCTTTTTTAATAGGTGCAAAAAAAAACAGAATGGCAGAAAACGGAATAGCAAATAATAAAATAAGAATGTAGATAGGTGATGATACCTTTTATATTGTAAGAGTAAGGACAAGCAAGACGTGGAATCAAAACCTTAATAACTAAAATCCAATTGCAATTATTACTTTTGTAACAATAAAAAAAAACTTCTGTTATTACAGTACAAATTTAACCTTAAATTCTTATCTGATAATTATCATTCAAAGAGAAGAATTTGGAATTGTAGAATAAACTCATTATAGATATATTTTTTTTTGTTTTAATCAATAACTATTAATTTATTTCAATTTTCTAATTATAAATAGTAATTTAAATTTTTTTTAATATTATTTATTTTACTGCTGTTGATATTGAGTTGTTTGATCTTCTTCAGTATTTAAATCTGCATTCTTTTTAGCTTGATGTACAACATAATGTTCTCTAGAAACCTTAGGTTTTTGACAATGAGCCTCGGCTTGATCACTAAACACCAAATGATCAATTATCGGGATTTTACGTTTATGAAGTTAATAATAACTTATAATAATAACTTATAATAAATCTCTTTTTTCAATTTTTCTCGAAACATCATTTTTAGAGTTTCTATTAAAAAGCCCCCCCCCATATTATTATAATGACGACAAAATATAAAAAAGCAGAAGTTAAAATTAACAGTTAAGTTAAATAATTAAAATGGCTATCAATTAATGAATTTTTCTTTTTTAATAGGTGCAAAAAAAAACAGAATGGCAGAAAACGGAATAGCAAATAATAAAATAAGAATGTAGATAGGTGATGATACCTTTTATATTGTAAGAGTAAGGACAAGCAAGACGTGGAATCAAAACCTTAATAACTAAAATCCAATTGCAATTATTACTTTTGTAACAATAAAAAAAAACTTCTGTTATTACAGTACAAATTTAACCTTAAATTCTTATCTGATAATTATCATTCATGAAAACAAAAGATATATTAATTAAAATGCAAGACCCTCTCTAAATGCATTCCCAAGGGGGTTGCACTTGGATTGAATGTATATCTTATCATGAATTCTTTTATCTTAACCATATACTATCTCGACAAGTACCCGAAGTCTCGAGATAAATTACCATCATGTACACTCTCGAGTTCTGTTGATGTGTAGGATTAAATAACATCAATCTGCATTTACTGTATCTCCTCTCCAAACAATATGAAAATAATAGCATCGAAAATATTAATGTTGTTGAAGGTAATGATAATAGTAATAATAATAATAATTCTAGATTTCCAAAGAACATCAACGGCAATTGTGACAGTAGTAGTAGTAATAGCAATTTTAGCCGTCAAACTCCAAATCAAAAACAATAACAATTAAATAAATAATAGTATTGTAATGATAAAAATCAAATCTCCAACTATAAAGATTATGAAGATTTTAATTTAGCTTATAAAGATGTCAAAGATCCAAATTTTGTCTCTTCATCATCTAATGGTTTTTATAAAGATGTTGATTCCAACATTTTTGATGATAAAAATTATACAAATATGGGATCTTCAATCAATACAGTCAAACCTTGTCACAACGGATGAACGGGACACGTAAGAAAACTTTACTTAAATCCGTTATGGAAAGATTACTAATTATAATTATAATCTTACCACATTACATATAAAAACATAAAAATCCGTTATGACAAGAATTTAATTATAACCTGCTGTGACAAGGTTTGACTGTATCATCAACAGCAGCAACAATACAAGATCAAAATTCCGTACCAATAAATAACAATAGTATTACACAGTCTGTACATAAATTTACTTACTGGTGAATATATTGTACTTGTAATCAAAAAGAATGCGAATCAGTTAAATCAAATCTATTAAAAACATCTGGACCAAAATATTTGGTATTTTGGGTGGATAAAGAAAAGAATTTATTTAGGTATATATTGAAGGACGAAAAGTAATAAATGTGGCAAATGATACCTTTGGATTCAACAGATATTGTGAATATTACTATATACTTGATGGTTAATGTTTATTATTATTATCACCATTGTCAGTCACAATTATTATTGACGCTTGAAAAAGCATAACTTCGGGTTTTTGCAGAGGAAAATAATACATTCAATATAAAACTCTGCGATAAAATCAATTATTTTCATATAAAATTAATCGTTAATGAACTTTTAAAATAAAAACATTGTCTTTATTTTCTTTGTTTAAAACGCTTTGATAAAGCAACAAGTGTAGTTAGTGCCTTGGTAAAAGGTAACGGCCATGAAGCATTGGTAAAAGGCCATGTTTATTTGCTTTAGTGAGCAAGTAAGCAAGGTTAGGGTTAACTAGTGAGTGCTAATAACAATTAGTAACATAATTTGCTTTAGTGAGTAAGCGAAGGTTGGACTAACGTTGGTTAACTAGTGGGTGTTAATGAAGTATTGTCCAAAGGTTGATCGGAAATACTGGTAGTATTATTGTAATCGTAAATGTAAGGCTGCTAAACAAGTTACTTGAATTGTTTGCAAGTAAACCAAAGAGAGCTTGCAATCGGCTAATAAATGTAAACAAGGGTAAACAACTGATAACAAATCGGATAAAGGAACTTTATAGTATTGCAAAAGGGCCGTCTTTATTTATTTACAATTATTTGGTAACTGTTGTATGTGAAATTGAAATATTATGGAGTGGGGTGAAATTCTGATTGGCTAATTTGAATTTCACACATGTAAATTTGAATTTCACACATGTGAATTGCGAATTCACATAATTTCATTTTCACGTACAACAGTACCATGAAGTGTGCTCACAGATTCGTCTATGTGCAGAAAGAGGGAACCAAATTCATAAACTAATCAATTGACAAGCACCGAATTATTGTGAATTAAATGACAAGAATAGCCCAAAAATTAAGCCATAATTGTTAATTAACCGAAATGATACTTCGCAATATCACCATTTAACAATAATTGAAAATTTGTAAAAAAGTTTATTTCAAAAATATTGTTACAAGATAAGAAATAAAATAAGGACGAAATAAAAAGATAAAGAATAAATTTATAGTGGAGATTAAATTAGTCATTCATCAACTCTTTTACTATTGTTATTAGAATCTAATTGATTAATATTGTTGGTAATAATTAATAAGTAGTAATTTCTAATTAATAAATAAGTAATGAAATTTTTGTTAACGTTTAGAGGAAAGAGTCACAATCAAGATTACTCAACAAACTATCATTACTTGTATAAATTTTCAAGCTTTTAGATTTAGCAATTTCTTCATCTAAGATTCTACTTTTATGATATGCATCTGGATGTGATTTGTGTACTTGTTGCGAAGCACCACTACCACCACCAATAGTATTATTACCATTATTATTTTTAATAATTTCATCATGTTTATTATCAGCAAAATCATAGAGCTCTCTACTAGTCGGTCTTTTTGATGGATCCACATCCCAACACCTCTGCATCATTTGCACATAATCGTCAGGCATTCCAGGTAGTATTGGTGGTCGTAAACCTTCACATATATCAAAAATCAAACAATGATTGTGAGCTCTATCATCAAATGGTGGTGGATGACCTGGAAATATTTCCCACAAAGTTATAGATATCAGATTCTTTGTATCAATTTTGCCTCTAAGTAGTTCAGGTGCAACATATGATATAATTCCATAGACTATTTGATGATTCATCATCAACTGGTCCACATAATCCCAAATCTGTAATGTAACAACCACTTCCTTTCAATAATATATTGCCACTATGTAAATCACAATGTATTAAATCTTTCTGATGTATCTCATTTAATGCATTGCATAAATAATCAAAGATTCCAATTCTGTCTCTTAATGCTAAATTTAAATATTTTTTTGCAAATAATCCCTTAAATTTCTTTCTGATAAATAATTTAAAACAATTGCATAATTCACATTATCTGGGAATTTAGTTATACCATAGCATTGAACAATCAGTAATGCCTTAATTTTATAATAATTTGTTGACTATAATTGAATATAAATCAATTAGTATTATATAACACAGTATTGTTTATTTTTGTTTTAAATAAACAAATACCAACCTCATTAAAAAGCCTTTTCCTGATTACTTGAATCATTTAAATTTTTTAATACTACATCTTTCTCTCCAAGATAATTAAATTCCTTTTTATTTTCATCATAATCAACTATTCTCCCTCTTGTCCATTCTGCAATATAAATTGAACTAAATCCACCTTCTGTTAACTTTGTTACTTTTTCAAATTGCTCAAAAGGTATCCATTCTAAAATATAGTCTGGTAAAGATGATTTCATTTGACATTGTTGAATAAAATCATCAATTATGTTAATTTAATCACTGATTCTATCACATCTTGTCGCTCTGTTTATTCCTTCTGACTCTTTGTTTTGTCACAATTTCTTATCTTCTGATGAGCCATTGTTTTGTTATTATTGCTAATGTTTTACGAATATTGTCCTAAATGAAATTTTGTTTATGTGGTAATACTAAAAAAATTAGAACATGTGACT